GCTTAATTCGATGGGAGTTCTGAATAAATAGTTGTCATAAAAAATTTGGAATCTATTTGAAGCTCTTGATCTGTGTCTCCCTTTCGTGATCTCCTTCTCAAAGACTGTAACTTTGCATAAATTGTTGAAATCACTATTTTGGCCTTCTTCTCCCCAGAGTAGTTTAGACTCCAGGAGGCATTGTGTAACATCCTTTGGTTTCAGGAAGACCGAACTAATATTCTCAGGGCTAGCAAGTGTTCTAGATGGATTCTTTCTTAACTCTCGACTCATCCGACGTCTTTGAATACATCGACACTTCCTCCACCATTTCTAAGTCTTACCCACCGTTGACGTCTTCTCTATATTTGTCATTGTGAATATGATTACCTCACGATGTCCCTTACTGCCTGCAATTAGGTATAGTGGTGCTAAACTTCAATTCCATTATGGCTCACTATTATAGAATTGTCAACATTCTAGCAGTATCTCTTTTTGTTTTCATGATTGATCAGCCCAAAGAACATTTGGGGTTGGTGTGCCCTCGAAATCTACACAGAGTATAGCAGAACAGGGCGACTTTTGCTTATTCGGGAAGCACAATACTTTAAATGCTCATCAGAAGAAGTACCCTCTCATGAAATTTTTGTGTACAAATCAGAAGTCATTCTATATAAAGCAATAACTTGCCCAGTAGAACGCTAACAGTAATAATTGTTGACACTATATAACCGAAGGAGACGATTATCACGCTGATCCAAGTTCTAGGGATTTTTTCGTAGTCGACGACAAATTTGGAGGCAAAACATCGTTCGATTATAACCGAAGGTAAGTACATGGAAATTGCACAGGAACACCACGAATGAGTAAACGATGCTGCGACAATAATTATGTAGTTGAAACCACTCCCTAAATACACAATAAGTCAATAACACATATAGTATTACAGCAGCGATTCTATCCTTCCAGATGAGAATGGTACCAAATAACCGCAGGGTGGAAGGCTTGTTCTGCCCGGGCGATTAATGGTTAAGAAGCCAAGAGTTAGTGGGAAAAATACGTGGTGGTAAATGCATAAATCGAAAGTGAGATAGTGAGCTCAAAAGGCAAAAATACTCACATGTTATGCCTTCGGGCATAATAATGCTGAATTCATAGAGAAACAGCACCGCTCGAGACAATATATTGGGATAGTATAAGAGCAAAAGAGCCTGAAAATATAGACTGTTTCCGTTGATCATGAGCCTCTATTTCTATCACTGACATTTCTTACAATTTACTTCCATGAAACAGCACCAAATTTGCGGCGGAACTAGACGAAATATTTCGGAGAGAACCTTTCGCTGCTTCCTTTTCCAAGCGAGTTCCTAATTTTAGCTTTTTCGTGAGCTTTCGATTTTAAACTTTTTGCTTTAAGCGCAGGAAATTCCGACTCAGAATTTGCCTTCTGAGCTCATTCAGGCTGTGATTCAAGCGCTTGTGTCTGTGGTTCTCGCTGTATTATTTCCAACTGCCAGCAGTAGAAGAATAAAGTCTTCAGCGTCAATGAATCTCGTTCATGGGGTGCATGCCCGTATACGGTTTCCATTCAGGATCGTGGTAGCGGTTTCAGTGCATGTGTGGCCTATTCAGTGTCTTCCAATGTACACCTCAGTGCTCTTATACTCACAGATGAGTCGGGTACCAATTGACCGATCCCAGCTGGACGGAAGACTCGGTTAGCCCAGTTACTGAAAAGACTTCAGGTCCCTGGACCGTACCTAGAATAGTTGCGACGTTTGCTAGTACATCACCCTTGCATTACAGTGCAGGTCCATTGTTAGTATGGTATTGTGTGGCAGGAGGTAATGAACTCCATGTCAGCAACTATTGTCAATTTGAACGTTCTCGTACGAAAAAAAGTCTCCTACCCCTTGTGGCTATTTTCTCTTTTTCAAACTCACCTTCGAGATTCGTATAAGGTTTTTGTGGAGTAATGGGGTTCTGTTTAGAATTCGATAAATAAATGGTATGTATACTACAGCAAAGACCATGGCAAGAATTTCGATAGCGCATAGGATCCATATTGTCGGATGAATTGATTCCAGTGGGATTGGTCCGACCAACTGAACTTCGAAAGCTTTATGAGTCCTATTCATTGACCGTTCTCTGCAAAAAAATCTTAAGCTTGCAAATATGCCTACAATGGAGCCATTTTGAATTTTTTTTAGGAGTGAACTGATTGAGAACACATCGGACGGATCGGACCTAAAAACGGTCCAGCTAGGATGCTTGTATGTTATTGCACACGGTTCAACGATGGGCAAAAAAAACAAGACTGGAGACGTGAATACAAGCTCTTCCAAATTTTGGATATTCGGATAGATCTCAAAAAGTACCAAGATGGAATGAGTGGCAGTGGACAACAGGCAACTTCACGGTTCTCATCTCTGACTCCATTGTTCCATTTTGTGTCCATTTTTTCGAGATATTCTAATAGCAAGACCCAGTACATAGAGTACTGGGTCCTGATGCAATAGAAAGGATAAGTATAAAGTCTTCAGGATTTGAATTTGTTGTCTCATTCGCCAAAGGGGAGATACGCTGGATACCGTGCAAATCATCTCGAATTGCTTTAGGCCTCTGAAGAAGACGATAGCGTCAAAAGTTAGGCCATTGAATTAATAAATCGTTCCACCTAACAACCTCGCACGGCACAAGAGTATTTAAATAATAAAGTCTTCAGGATTGATCAATCTCCCTCAGGCAATTCCATTGAGAACCGTAGTGGCGGTATGAATGCGTATGTCGCATATACAATGTCTTGTGGTGGTAGGCCAATGTACAAGTCGGTGCTTTCTTTCTTTTACACAAGTCTAATGCCAATTAACTGACCTAATATGGGATCCTGGGTGGAAGGCATAGTTGTTTTGGGCGAATACCAATACGAGCGTGGTTGTGATAGTGTGATATGTACTGAGATTTTTTACGACACGACCTCAGCTCTTTCATTTAATTGACGTTGAGAAATAAGTCAATCTATTTATCATGGGATAAACAAAAAAATTTCTCAGCAGAACCCTACCGAGTGCATTTTCAACCCATTTGTCATGGGCAACATAGCAAAGAAAAAAGCCTGCAGATAATGGGAAAGTTTCGGCTAAAGTAATCTGCAGCGGCTTGTTGGCGCTAATGGAGCATGCAAGTTAGTAGCTAGCAACGAGCCCAAAATAGTAATTATGTCTGTTTTTCGCTCGTAAATGGGCATGTAGTAGTATGCCTAAATGTAAAATCAAATTAACGGAACTATTGACAGCAGTAATTAACTACTAGTAGGAAATACTACTACTCTTGTTAGGTACTGCTGCAAAGTAATGAAAAACTGGTGAATCACGAGTTTCAGTGATCACTATGTTTGGCAAATTATTTGATATTGATATTTGATATGCACAAGTGAAAAACGGACTCAGGGCAATTTTCATTGGTGGAGCATTTTGGAACCTCTTCCATAAGGATATAAGTAGGCGCACGTCCTCCTTCAGTTTAAATCACGATGTCAATTCCTCAGAAACGTGTTGGGTACATCAACTTCTACGAGAGGCACCGCGGCACCGCAGCAACGGCAACCGTTCGCAACATCAACAGCGTCTGACACCACTTCCATCTCTATGATTCATTGTGGTGCGCTCGCTTCAAGGAAGGTGACACGGGCTCAAGAGTTAAGCCTCGGTCGAGACGCCCCCTCCTCGTCGACGACTCCGTCATTCCCAACACAGTCAAAGAGGAATAGTAAGTTAACACATGCAGCCTTGCGACGAGACTTGGATGTGCCCTATCAACAGTATCGATCGCCTTCATGACTCGGTAACGGA